GGTCATAAGCATGGGCTTGATGTGAAAGTACAGCCGCCTAAAGTAGGCACTGAATATGAACATCAAATGTGAGAGTGAGTACTAAACTTCCTATAGTAGTAGTCTTATTTGTGGTTCTTCATTTGAATTAACTTCCATTTTTTTAAAAAATTAATTTGGCTTTAGTTTTTGCCTTGAATCATATGTTATCTACTATGTCACAACCCTTGATTGAACACAATTAAATGAGTTTAAGCCTTCAATAAGATAAAATGCCTAGGTCCATTACAAATCTTGAATCTTGCTTGATTTATGCTTTACGTTGTTAATTTGCAGTTTGTCAAGGATTTGCATGCTCTTATTAGCCCAGTTCCTGGACGAACTCCCCTTTCACTTGTTTTGCTGGGGAAGGTATGATTGTACTATAAAGAAACGTTTTCCTATAGTTCTCTTTTGGATTTTTAATTGACTCTATTTTTGTGATGAATTCATTAATTCTTCTTTCAGTCAAAGATTGCATTATTATTGACTTTCTTATTTCTCAATCAAATTGTTTGGCTCAGCAGAACAAGTAACTATAAGGTATAAAGTTTACTTTATCAATATTTGATTTTATATAACTTGTGGTTGGATTCTGTAAGAAATATTCACTAAAAAAAATATTATTTTTTGTAGCACAAGGAACGTGCTTGAGCTGCTTGGGTGGATATCCCTTTTCTGTTGGATGGGTTCTTCAATTTGCAGCAGCTTGGTTGAGGTTTGTTGATAATTATTAGTTATATAAAGTTCTTTCATGCAATAATTGTTTTGCATTTGATTTTTCACAAGCTTTAGAGCTTTATACGAATTCTTCTTAAATTAGCTTGGGGAACTTGGGAGGCTTTCAGTAGCAATGGAAAAGTTGGAGAAGGAGCTAAAGAACAATGATAAGTGTCAAGTATGTTTAACATAGTTACTATTTTGTGTGCTCACAGTTGGGATTCTCCTATTTGAATTTCCATATTATATTGTGGTGGATAAAAAGGGCAGTGAATGAATGGTATTGTTTCATAGGAAATTTACTTTATAAAGGTTTTTGTGTATTGTAAAATGGGTTAGAGTACCATTTGTTCTCAATATATGAATAAAATCTGTTAGGTTTTTATCAATATAGCAAAAGAATAAGTGTAGGAAAAAATTATAAAATAAAAGTGAATTACAAATTGTAAAAAAAAAAAAATGATCTTTACCAACGAAATTATCTATTTGTAAAGGTAAAAATCTATATCCATGGAAAATTTTTTTAAAATTTTTAAGGGTCTATACCAATGGAATTATCTATCTGTAAAGGGGGGTCTATACTCACGGCAAAATCTTTTAAAATTTTTCAAGGTCTATACCAACGGACAAATCTTCCATCGGAATAGATCCCATGGTTTATATCCACGGATTAGCCCGTCGGTATATACCCCATAGTGACGAGGATGCCCCAACGGAAAGCTCTTCCATCGGAATAGTCCCTGGGGGTCTATACTGACAGAAAAAGGGTGTATACTGATGGAAAACTTTCATCACTATAGATACATCTGCTTGTAGTGTTAATTCTCCACTGGCTATTAAAACGTACTAACTTCTTATAGAATATAAATGCTACGTATCACTCAACATTGAGAAGAACCTACGCACACATAGCAAGCATATGAATTCCACAAAAATGCTGCTTACCTTGATACCTTACCCTGATGCGATCCGAAGTAGATCCTTCATTCTCAACTATGATGGTGAAACGCGAATTACGTTTCAAGTGAGGAGCTAGTAAATCATAAAATTGGAAGATATCCACTCCCACTGTCCTTCCTGTTGTAGTACGGGCATCGAAGTATTCGAAGAAACCAGCAGAGATCCTTACAATGTGCCATTGATTGTTAACATGAGCTGCAATCGACAAACCAGCCCCTGAAACTCTGAGAAATGAAGATGTTTGTATATTATTTGGGGGAAGAATCATTTCAATGGCGCGACTTAAAGTCTTGTGTCCGTTCCCAACCATGCCAATCATCTGCAGAAACACATCTCAAACTCTTATATAAAAGAATTTCTACACATGAATATAGATTTTCAGTTCATCATACCAATAGTGTTAAATTAATCACCTGAGTATGCTCCTAATTGATTAAAAAGAATTAAAACATTAATCTAAATTTAAAAGGTAAAACTTGATCTTATTGTCCTAATTTGATTAATAATATTATTTTCGTTTAAAAAAATAAAAAAATAAAAATAAGACTCGAAGAAAATATAAAATTTAGAGGAAAATAAAAA